GGCAGCGCGACTGCCATTTGCTATGACGAAGCATTGTTTGGACATAATTTGGTCTCCAAAGACCTCTTCAATTACCTCGGCTTCGTTGGGGAACCGCGTTACTTGATGGTAGGTTGACGCTATCAATCGCGTGGCATGCAGCCATGTCCTTCCCAGGATTATGTTGTAAGTGGAAGGGACTTTTAATACCCAGAATTCCACTTGTTTCGTCATGCTTCCCGCTTTGACTGGGAGGATTATCTTGCCCACTGGCCACTCTAGCATTGAGTTGAATCCGATTAGGGGAGATGTTGTAGGCGCCAAGTCTTTGTTTTCCAGTTTCAATTGTTTGAAGGTTTCGTAATACATTATCTCACACGAGCTTCCCTGGTCGATCAAAATCAGTTTGATGTCGTAATCCTTGACGCGGAGTGTGACGACTAGTGCATCATTGTGAGGGCAATATATCCTTGCCAAGTCTCTGTCTGAAAAAGATATGACATTCGTGGCTTTTGTTTTCCCCTTTTTGATGGCAGGTTGTGCACTTAATACCTCCCTTAAGTGCTCAGCCTTCTTGATCATTCCCCTGAGCTCGCATACTCGTTCAGGTTCGAATACCCCATGTATTACGTTAATCATGCCTTGAGGTGGGGCGTCGATCGGCATTCTGTTTCGGTGATCGTGGTCCTGGGGGGTTGGTTGTGTCCCCCCTTCTATGTACTGGTCCAAGTGCCCAGCTGCCACTAACTCCTCCAAGTGCTGTCTCAACGGCTTGCAATTCTTAGTGCAGTGCCCCTTTTCATCATGGAAGGTGTACTGGGACCTTTCGTCATAGTCCTTCTGTGCTTCTCCTAACTTAGTTGGCCATCTGACGAAAGGTTCATCGCGTATCTCACTAAGAATTCGATAAATTGGTTTTTTGAACACCGTGGTAATGGCAGTGCGAACTCTTAGCCACCTTTTGTCTGGACCCTCTTTGTTAGCCCGTCTGCCTCGCCCATTCCTTGCTTGGTCATTCTACCGTGTTGACTTTTGCCGAAGTCTTTTTATCTGGTATTGCTGTTGTGCTAGATTTCGACTTAGCATGGGCGACATCCTCTTCTAGATGAATATGTTGGTGCACTGTTGGTGCACTCTCTCCATTAAGGCCTCCATCGTGAGGGGAGGTGTTATAGTGATTGAATCCCTCAATTTGTTGCCGACTGGCAAGCCCTGTTTGTATTGTGCGATGGTGAGGTTTGTAGGACAATCTCCTATCTAGTTGAAAGTTTCCCAGTAGCGACTGTTGTAAGACCTCAATGTTTCTTTGTCGCCCATGTCAATGGAGAGTAGCTGATCGATCTCCACTGGTGTCTTGGTGTTCGTTCTAAACCTTGTCACGAACGCCTCTGTCAATTGTGCCCAGGAGGTGATGCTACCTTCTGGTAGCCTTTCGAACCAAGTTAGACCCAGGTCGCCTAGGCTGGACGGAAACAGGATGCACATTAAAGCCTCGTTTCGCCGGCATACTGCCATAATCTGGCGAAAGTGGCAAAAGTGCATGTAGGGGTCCGTCTTCCCCTCATAAGCGGTGAATTTGGACTGATGAAAGCCCGAAGGTAGTGGTGCGTTCTCTATTGCCGGAACGAACAGCGAGCTCTGTAACCTTGCTAATGCTTTTTCTATTGGTTCGTAAGCAAGACGCAACATTGGCATTCCTACCTCAACGCTCTCATGCGTTCGAGGAGCCAACCGCTGAAAGGCAGAAACTCTGTGCGGGTCGCGTGTCCTAGTATCCTCCTTCCAACGTGCCCTTTCTTCAAACACAGTTCGCAAGTCAGATGATCTAGGTATCTCCGTGTGCCTAAATGACATCTGGTGCGTATGCGAGGGCCAATAGGTGCTTCCCTCAGTATATGACCTCTCAGTTCTCGTTCTCTCAGACCTGGAGTAACGAGTCTTGGAAGTCCTTGATTGAGTGTCGCCTGTTCTAAGGCTCCTACTTTCTGCTTGCGATGGTGTAGTGCGCCTTCTACGATCTTCTGAGTGGCGAGGAGGTGTGTTGTCTTTGCGCCTCTCTCCTGTCACCACCCCTTTTTCTTTTTATCTAGCGCTTCATTGACTCTATGTCCGCCGCCATCTTCCTTATTAACTCGTCCTGCTCCTTCACGCGATCCTCCAGAACTTGAGGGTCCATCATCCGCTTCTGTCTTTTAGGACTTTGAGAGCGCCGGGAGCTGTTAGCCTGCCTCCCCCTTGCATCCCTCTGGGGGTTCTGTCACTGGGGTTCTAGATCCGCCATGGGAGGGATAGAAGGCAAGCCTTCGTGCCTCCCACCCCCCTCTGGGGTTTGTCCATCAATAGCGGATTGCGGAAAATCTTCATTGTGCGCCATTGCTTCCAATTAGAGAGGAAAACTTGTTCAAAAGGTTTTGTTCTTTGTGGAATTCCCACAGACGGCGCCAATTGTACGAGCACGAAATAATTCTCCTCGTATAATCCTGTTGACCAATCTGCGCTCCTCCAAACGTCGTCGCTTTACTTCCTGAAAACACAAACGTAACCTAGCCGGCGGGTGTGTGCCGGATACCTCTCCGATGCCTAAGTCAGCAAAATAGATAAATAGACAAAAGCTCTATGTATTCGAGAATCAAAGTTGTGTTACCTCTCCACAGGTGATGTTGTGAACTTTTATAGGTTCCGCGTAGCACAATCCTAGTAGGACTCTTATTCCTCCATGTAGAGTCCTCCTAGGAATCACACTCCTGAAAGATAATGTTTATCCTTCAACACCCCTCTCACTGCTTAAACCAAGTGAGATGGTTTTACCTCTGTAGTATGACAAAACGACCGAGCTAACATAGCCATGCTAAAGCGGCAGAAATGACCGAGCTCCACCTAGCTCGATTCTTCACTTCATTGCTTGTACCCCCGTTTGGTCCGTCAAGACCGAGCTAACCATAACAAGCTTGGACCGAGCTAATCAAGAGCAAGCTTGGACCGAGCTAATCAAGAGCAAGGTCCTGAGGAAAACTCAAATCATCTCGGCTCATAATGGTATGACCGAGCTAATTACACCAAACCGACCGTGGTAACCCCAAGTACAATTGGACCAAGCTAACTCTGCCTTTTTTACCGCGGCCCATTTACTCAACTCGGCCCAATTTATTTATAAATTACCCTCTCAATAATAATACTCTTGAGGAAATTCTAAAGTTTAGATTTACTGCTTGAGTTACATTTTCAATTGTTGAATAGTAAGTTCTTTTATGCTTTGACATTATATTGCAGATGATTAATCACTTTACACACTGAGATGTATCTATTGTTTAGATGCTTTCATTATTTTATTTTTTTTAAGGTTTAAATGTTGTTATGAGATTCTTTTTTAATTAGTCGTTGTTGAATTTCTTTTATATAGTTAATATTTTAATTTAATTAAGAGTGTTTATTTTATAATCTTATAATTATATATATATATAATCCATATAAAATCATTATATGATAGGTCTTTTACCCTTTACAGAGACACTACCTGTCACGACCCAAAACCTGTCCTTATAGGTTTGGCGTCGTAACCGGCCAGTAATCCTAGGACTACCAAAGGCCTCTGAACAGAAAAACAAAATATAAGGGGCTGCGGAAGCAAATATACAAAATACAATGTCCATAGAGCTGTGTAAACATACATGGGACAAAAAAGATTTAAAACTTACATATATAATGTCCAACTTCCATACGTCATGCATCACCATACGAATACAAATAGTATCATAGGGAACTTAGCCCAAAGTACAGATAGACAAAAACAAAACAAAAGCATCATTTACATGATTCACAAAACTTGACTTGACAAACGAGAACCTCCCCGGGAGGCATGGTGGCTGACTAACAAAACAAAACTCTCCAGGCAGCAGCTTAGGCCTAGTCACGCGCCTGCTCACCTACATACATAATATAAATAGTGAGTGGAAACCCAGTGACTAATAACAAAGTAAAGGAGTTTAATGAATATTATCCATAACAGTTACAGAAAACAGAATTCATAATTATGTTAGAAATCAAAATTCATATCAAAAACAGATTCAGAATCATACTCATAATTAGAATTTGTAGTTAAATGTACGTGGTACATCCATTAGCACTAGCAGAAACAAATGACCCATAAGGAACGGCCATAAAGGCATATAGTTGACTCACGTGCACGGAGACAATACAGTTGGCTCATGAGACGTACAGTTGGCCCATAATTGGGACGTAACAAAACAGATAACAAATATCATCTGAAGCTAAGAATGCCATGAATACATTTCAAAAATATTGGACAACTTTCATTCATGCAGAAAATAATATTTCAGAAAACAGATCATTCATTCAGAAAAATACTTATAATTGAACATAGCTTTACAAAGTTATTACTCACAGATGGCTCTAATTGTAGAACAGATGAGGTAGACAGCTCAAATAGCATACGGCGCGTGACCTACAAACAACACATAACATATACACATTGAAACACACGCTCAGGATTCATTAACATTGTGTTTCATTCTTAGTGTGTTTCTAAGTCTTATCCTTATTATTGTGTCTTAATCATTGCCTGGGAATGCCTAGGATGTGATGAGGATGCCAAAATGTACTTTGAAACACTTAGTCAATTATGCCAAAAACAGGAGCCTCACTCGAGGGCAACTTCCTTCCCTTGAGCGGTCTATAAAAATATGAAAAAGTATTGATTGCTTGATTTTTCCACTCGACGCACGCTCGATGGTCGCTCGAGCGTAAGACTAAGGTCTTCGCTCGAGCGCAACTCTTGTCGCTCGAGCGGTCTGCAAAATGTGTCAACTTCTGGGAGCAAGCAATTTGCGCTCGAGCCAACTTTTGGTCGCTCGAGCAGAGGTTCAAAACACAGAGTGGTCGCTCGAGCAGTGAGGCAGAATCTGGAATTTCTAGATTGCTCTTCCAAGTTCAAAACTCAAATTTAAAACTGCGTTACTCCCCCCCTTCATCTCACGCATCAATGGCGTACTCGTACTAGTATATAAATGCCCAGCCCCCTTCTCTCTCTCTCTCTCTCTCTCTCTCTAACACCACCTAGCTAGTTAGAGAGCTGAGTCCTAGAGACCCCCACTTCAAACCCACCATTCTCTCTCTCTATATATATATATAGATATATTGCCGGAGATGGATGGGTACGGACTGTCGGCGCCGGAGTGTTTTCCCATCGACGACCTCCTAGACTTCTCCAACGACGACCTTTTCTCCGCCTCCACAACCACCGACAACCACCACCACCTCACTTCCTCAAACAACACCTCCATCTCCGGCGGCGGAGGCAATGCTCCCAATCTCAATCAATCCACTGATTTCACCGACGACCTCTGCGTCCCCGTAAGCTCAAACTCCTTCACACCTCTTCTCACTCCTCACTACCACATACATGTATATATTCATTGATACATAGCTATGAGCCTATGTGTGTATATATAAGTACAGCGATGTTAGAGCATCTTCAATTCTTAAGCAAATCCTTTGAATTCTTTCATTAAACTTGTATCAAATCAGGTTTTACCAAAAGTTTTCATCAAATTTTCAACATTGGGCACTTAAGTTTTATGAAATTGTTAGCCGATACTGAAGATGTTTTTCTTTTATCTGAATTGATTGAAAGATATTTTTTAAAATTTCAATCAAAAATTTAATTCTCTCAGTGACAAATCTAGCTTTTAGTTTAAATTTTTGACAAATTTGATCTCTTAGTCTAGCTAGCGTGAATCATTGACTATTTTTTGGTGATTTTGTTGATGATGATGATGTGTAGAGTGATGTTGTAGCTGAGCTCGAATGGCTCTCGGACTTCGTCGACGACTCGTTGTGGTTCTCGAACAACTTCGTCGACGAATCGTTCGCCGGAACTGTAAATCTGAGTCCTGAAACCTCATTTCACGGCCGATCACGAAGCAAACGATCCAGAGCATCATCAATCAACAAACGATGGCCTTCCTCGCCTGAATCTGAAACTCCGATGATCGCAGAATCAAAGGCGTTTATTAAGAAAAGAGAGAGCTCGTCGAGTTCGTCTTCGTCGGAAAGTTCTCAGGCGGAGGTGGCTCGTCGATGCACGCACTGCGCGTCGGAGAAGACGCCGCAGTGGCGAACCGGACCGTTGGGGCCGAAGACGCTGTGCAACGCGTGCGGAGTCCGTTTCAAGTCGGGCAGGCTGGTGCCGGAGTACAGGCCGGCGGCGAGTCCGACCTTCGTGTTGACTCAACACTCGAACTCTCACCGGAAAGTAATGGAGCTCAGGCGGCAGAAGGAGATGCTCCGGCGAGGACAGCAGGAGGAGGAGCAGCAGCATCACCACCACCACCACCAGCAGCAGCTCTTCCGCCACCAACACAACTTCGAGGTCTGCTAACGTCGTCATTGCATACATGTCAGGATCACAGCTCTTATCTTCTCATCATATCACATCATGTGTTTGACACTTCAATGTATTACACACTCATAGATTCTCTCTCTCCCATGTTACCTTATCGAGAAACTTTTTTTAATTTTCTTTCATTTTCTCTTTAATTTTAAAAGTTTCAATTATCATGGGGTCTTGGAAAGAAAAAATTTCTAAATAAATGTGATATTATTGGTATAATTAATTAATTAAGAATTTTTTAAAAACTATAAGATTAATTTAGTGTGGGATTAGAGTATCGTTTCATCTGACTTGTCATATATGAATTTGAGCTGATATTCAAATATATATGCCTCTGTTTGGGAAGTGGGTTGATTTTTTGACTTTTTATTTTTTTTGGCTATTTGAGCCTGGGCTCAAAAGCTTAATTTGGGAAGAATTTTTTGACTTTTTTATTTTTTTGACTTTTTTTGTGAGAGAAGAGTGTAATGATTATGGGTTAGATGTGATGTTTTGTCTGTTGTGACTCAAATAGCCTATTCTGTCTTTTGTGACTCAAAGAGCCAAATGAGTTCTTCCCAAACTCTGGTTCCCAAACTCTGGTTATATATATGATAAATTATATTTTTGACTCCTAAAATTATTTAATTTTCACTTTATTCTTTAAATTTTGAATTTTTATAATTTAAATAAAGAATTATTGAATTTTTGTGTGTGTGATTTCACTTGGCAGCTGCTGTCAAATTTTAGGGCATTCATTGGAATGGCCAAAATGAAGAATTATATAATTTAAGGATTCAAATGCAAAAATATAATTCCAATGGGGGAGGGAGAGAAAATTTTCAGTGTCACGTGACTTGTTTTGGTCTTAAAATTCAACAATAGTTATTACAGGAATGATATTGACAAAAATTCCATAATTGTGAATAATGAAATTGAAAAAAATTAAAATTTAAAGTTTAACAATATATTACTTTAATTTATGAGTTTGATAAATTATATTTTTGGATTTGGTTTATTTTATGTTAGGGATCTAATTTGAAAGAGCATTCGGACTCAGTGGACTCATTGTAAGTTCAATCTCGGTGATTCAAACGGTTTATTTTTTTAAAATTTATTTAGAAGAATATTCATTTAAAAAATTAAGATAATTGAATTTCGGTAGTTATTACATTTGTCTTTAGAAAATTGACGGTTATTCTTGAAATTATATTTACTATTCATTTTTTTATGATAAATATTATTCAAACATATAACTATCAAAATTTAATCATATTAATTTTTTACATGAATATTCTTCTCAACTCATATTAAAAAGTCAATAATTTGAATCACCGAGATTGGGCCCACAATAGATCTACTAAACCCAAATATTCTCTAAAGTTGGATCTCCAACCTAAGAGAAGTCATACCCTATAGTATTTTTTATCTCTATAATTTGATTTAAATTTCATTTTGATCTTTATTTTTTAATTTAAAAAATTGATCTCTACATTTTAAGTTTAATTTTAATTTAATTAGACATTAAAATTAATAATTTTGTGATAAGATTCAGTTTTAGTTTAATTTTTTTGTTTAATTTGGATATTAAAACTAATAATTTTGTGACAAGTGTTTGTCTCTTGAAGTATAAACGTAAAAAAAAAATTAAAGAGAAAAAAAGTGTCGATCATTTGGACAACAGAAAAATTAAATTATTGAAATTGAAAGAATTGAGATGTACATGAAATTCAGATTAAATTATAAAAACTAAAAATAAAAATTATAATTTACTCTAATGAGTTCCTCTCTCTATATGGGTGCTCACACGGAAAGTGAGAAGTCGGTGGAGTGGAAGGAGAGAGGGGGCAAGTGAGAAAAAGGGAATAATGATTCGCTGTTAGGGAGTGTATTGATTGAAGAGTGTTGTGGCGTCATGATGATGGGTTCATTTATGGTGGCGGTGGTGTTTGTTAGGTCATTTAGATCAGACGGTGGGTCGTGATTTTCATATCCATTACAAAAGCATGTGACCTCTTGCTTAAATTGTTTTCTGATTAAACTAAACCCATGGCGCATTGCTCTCTCTCTCTCTCAAATGGCTTTACCTCCATATTATTATTTTTTTTTTAATTATGTATTCGGATTAATTTATACGTACTTCTATTAAATTCCGGAATCTTCCCGTGATCTCAAGACTTGAAATACTTAGGCTAAGTTTGACATGATTGAAAAAAAATAAAAAGTCAAAAAGTCGCTATCCTATTTAAATCACATTACATTATTTAAGTCATATCACCTCTTTAACACATCACTTCAAACCCATCTAAATCCAACTCATATTTCATAAAAAATCAAAAAATACACTTATTTAATCTTCCCAAACTAAACCTTAACTTTTGTGGGTTTTACACTTGTAACCTTTTTCCATTCACTAAGCCAAACCTTTGGATTGAAATGGCTTCTCCTTTTATCTAGACTGGTCATCATTAAGGATCCATTCTTTTATTTTTAAAATAGTAAAATTTTATTGTTTTTCAATTTTTTTCCCAAATTAATTTTAAATTTTTTTAAAAAAAAATGAAAACTAAACCAAACAAATTATATTTAGGGAGTGCAACTCAGGCAAGTTAAGAGGCTATCGAATTGCCCAAATTAAACATAAATTTGATTTTTTTTTTACCAAATTAATTTTAAATTTTTTTTTAAAAAAATGAAAACTAAACCAAACAAATTATATTTAGGGAGTGCAACTCAGGCAAGTTAAGAGGCTATCGAATTGCCCAAATTAAACATAAATTTGATTTTTTTTGTTTTAGATTGATTACTTTGTTTAAATTATACTAGTATTAACATTCTATTGGGAGGTAAAATCATTAATAATAACATTAAAATAAATAAAAATTTATATAATATAAGAGAGATGGAGAGTAAAGAGATAAGAATTGAAGAATTAATATGTCGCTCTGTCGGTTCTTTAAAAAAAAGAGGTATGATTTTTGTTGTATTACTTGTGTATATAATAATATAATACATACATATATATATATATATATAGTGAACATGATCTAAGAGCAACTTGAAGGGAGGAGGCAAAGGGTTATATGAGGTATTTTTGCTAGTAAAGTTGTTTTGGCTTTTCTTCAAAAAGCTCTGCATCACAAGAGATATTTTCAATTTTCATTTTGGCTCTCCACTAGGGGGGAGCATCGACCAGTTGGTCCACCTAGCCTAGCCCTATTTTTTTAGAATTTGAGAAGATTGTTTTACACAAAATCTTTCAATTTGTAATGATATCAATATAATTATTTAAGAAATGTGATGTGTGATTGAATTTAATTATAGAATATTTTTTCAAAAATTTAACATATAACCCGATGGTGGACTTGGGATTTATAAATTTTTTTTGAATTGGACTTGGGTAGATATAGAGATCCGATGTTAGTGTTGGGCCGAGCCAAGTTAGGTTTAAATAGACACAAAATCCCTTATCATATAGTGTTGGACCTACCTAAACCCGGCTCGACGTATGACCACCACTACTCTCCGCAATGCCATTTTGCCCATATGTGCTTGCTATCTCCATCTTTGCGACATCTTGGCTTATTTAATTTTTGACGTTTCTTCTTTGCTGCCATTTGATCTTTTAAAAATATAATTTAAAATTTTAATTTAGTAATATATTTAAAATAAATAAATATTTGTAAATGCCATGTCATCAACCACATTAACACTAGGTGTATATACAACATGTGATAATTTTTTTATTATTTATATTTATAGTATTTTTCTTTAAAAAATAGTTAATTTAGTTTGATTGATTAATTAAAATAAAGAGTGTAGTTAAAATATAAATTAGGTAAATTAGTTAGACAAAATAAGTAGAGTACTTTTTTATGTGCTTTTACTAGGCCTTTTGTCTAACAACCTTGGAGTTGCTATAACAATTTTTACTATTTTAACATAATTCAAGCACTAATATTTTATATATACAATTCTAGCTTTGAATTGATTAAGGGTTAGTTTGACATAAATTAAATAATATAAAAAGTTAAAAAGTCACTATCCTATTTAAGTCACATCATCTTATTTAAATCACATCACCTCTCTAACACATTACATCAAACCCAACCCAAACCCAACCCATATAAGCCAATAAGTAAAAAAATACACTTCTTTAAAACATTCCAAACCAACCCTAAATGGAATGTATAATTTACCCCTTCACCATTTATTTTCTCCTTCCCTTGCTATTCATGGAGAAATCAATATTTACTTGGTTTTGAATTTTCAAATATAATTTTTGAGTTTATATTTTTCATGTTTTGTTGTCGCTTTTTTCACGTCTCAGTCAATTTTTTTTTAAGATGCATCTAATTTACATATATTTAAAAAGTAAAATATTTTGTAAAAAAATTTCACCAAATACACTAAAAAAAAATTATGTATACTTTGGTATTTTTACATTTATTGAATTTAAAAAAAAAATCTCCACAAATTTTATCTTTTTAAGTGTATTTAAATTAAGTGCATCTAAAAAAAAAAAAATTTCCAGAATATGAAAAAAGTTAATTAAAATGGAAAATTTCAAAACTATGTTTAAAAACTCAAAATCAATCAGATAATTCTAAGGCAACACATACATTTAGCATATTGTGGGCATCAAATTCCAGCACTAAACGACATCCTACAATTCATCCCCGAGCTACAATAGTTTTAAGGTTAATTACAACAAAATTCCCTTAATTATTAGTAAATATCAATTTACCTCCTTTATCTATGAACATGTACATACTGACTTCCTTAACTATGAAAACCATACAAATACATCCCTTTTAGAGGTTGTCTAAAAAGATAAAAGTGGTCCATTTTTAAACTTGAGAGTCAAACTGCACGAATTTATAGATGAGGCAAGTAAAGTAATATTCGTTAGAGCAATGTCGGGAATCCAAAGCCAAAATTCTACACAATACTGACATTGGTGTAGAATCCACACCTGTGTGAGCATTCTGTAAAACCTTGAGTAATATTTTTAGAGTCTCCAACAGAGTTTTGGTGTAATTAACCCTAGTTTCCAAACGAACAGTCCATACCATATCAAGCTTTACAAGCATAAACATTTCAGCCAATGATCATGCCACAGGTCCACCTAGAAATCAAATTCATGTAAAAATTACTAATAATGCCACTGCCAAGTATCAAAGTA